AGTTATGAGCGGAAGTGTTTCCCTTTTTTAAATGATTTCTAAACACTTACTTGTACGAAGGGATAGAGATCGGGGTAATCGGCCATAACGGCCACCTCCGAGCCATCAATGCTCGCATGGTAATAAACTCCGTCTTCAAATTCTACAAATATATCTGGATTCTCATGAAATCTAGGGTCTTCCTAGAGAGCATGGTCCTCTGGTTGAGGAGGGGGGCAATAGATGTTCTCGACTACCTTCCTCCATGACTGTTTTGAAGCAACCAGAGTATTCAGTTAATGCATAGCAGTAATAAAAAAGGTGATGTATGACTAAACTTACCCAGTCGATGGGGTTGTACATGGAGAAACCTTCTCGGCAATTTAAACGGGCGAAGTCTTCTTCCTCTCCCTTATAAAGATCCACCAGCATGGCAGCCAATGCAGCTTGGTTATCCGGACACTTTCGCGTATAGCGAGACGCGTCGTCCTCCCTATTGTAGTTCCATAAAGGACCCACTCCGGACTGAAGAGGCTGGATACCACTTTATCGCAATAGCCATGACTTCAACGACGGAGAGTCTGGAGTGGGCCAACAATCTGATGTTGCTGACCAATCTCATCATTTCCGCACTATCCTCTTGTCTGGGGGATTTGGGGCGCTAGCTGAATAGCTTCTTCAAAGGAGCGCTGGAGAACTCGGGAAGCCCACGCCGAACAGGGTCTAGAAGAGGAACATCCTCAATGTAAAACCATTCAGAAGACCATTCATCGGACCCCCTCTTCGGAGTCCTGACAGGGTAACCAGATCCGGCTATGCGCCATACTTCAGCGCCACCCACTTCAAACATAGACCCTCCGCCCTGGTGGCGGGGGCGAAGCAAAAGAACTTTTTCCATAGTTGGAAATGAGCCTCGCAGCCTAAAATAATTCGCGAAGGGCGACAAAACCAGAAATATGCAGAATGGAACCTGGTGTGAGGTTGTGCAGTTGGATCCTATAATATTCCAATAGACCCCTAGGGAAGGGGTGGATCGGGAATCCTACACCCCTCAGAAGGAACGAGATGAAGCACACCCTCTCCCCTTGGCTGGGGTTGGGGAAATTCTCTGCCAATGCACCATCGCCCATAGAAGTTAATCCTGCCCGTACAGAGACTAGATCCGTGGGGGGAAGGTATCCTTGCGTCTGGAGATGGTGGAGCTGAAGATGGGATACAGAACAACTTTGCCAATCCCCCTGTTGAGGGCCATGAGGACGCGAGGAGAAGCCAGGGATACTAGCCATGGTTTGAGCTTTTTTCGTGGTTTGCTCTATTACTCTTGGGGCGATGTAGGATGGCGTTTGGGGATCTAACCTCATTATATAAGTGCCATCCGTGCCTATTAAAAGGGTTAAAATATAAAGGTAACAGACCGTTCGCATTCGCTCAGATGCGTGGAAATCGAGGTGACGACAGGAAGGAATCATAAAGACTAGACACAGAAGCCGATGCCGGACTATCGTCAATCCGAAGTATGGTGGAGAACCCGCCTTGCAAAGCCGAAGACTTATATCCGCATACTACATCGTCATTGAAGGCAAGTTCGGGGGCTACTGAGGGAGTCCTGGATTCGGGGGTCCTCAGGTGTCCGGCGCAGGAGTATGGGCCGGGGTGGATGGGCCATACAAGATCAAGCTAAAGATTATCCTCCGTGTCTGGATGGTACTTCTCCATATGTAAACTGCAAGATTAGAGTCCGGTTGTTTGCTTCCCTGATGAACCAACCTTGTACAAACCCTAGGCCCCTCCGGTGTGTATATAAACTGGAGGGGTTAGTCCGTAGAGGCTATCCTCATTACCATCATCAGAATATTCATAGGCTAGACATCTAGGGTTTAGCCATTACGATCTTGAGGTAGATCAACTCTTGTAATCTCCATACTCTTTAAATATAATCAAGCAGGAGTAGGTTTTACCTCCTTTAAGAGGGCCCGAACCTGGGTAAACATTGTGTCCCCTGGTCCCCTGTTACCATTGATCCTTAGACGCATAGTTTGGGCCTCCCTACCCGAGATCTGCCGGTTTTGACACCGACACCTACCTAGAAAGTAGGTCTCAGTCCTCTATCTGACCCGCCTAGAGATTGTTGGGCTGGTGGCCTCGCCGACTAGGCGCCATATGATAATCAGGTTTGTAACAATTATGTGGGCCCACTGGCACGCACCAATGACCAATTCTGAATGTGAGTGGCCAACCTCTTATTTATTGTAGAAAAGACAACAAAATGCATCTTATATATCTGATAAATATAAAGGGAAACAATAGTCAATACAATAGAAATATAATAAGACGTAAAACAATCATCAAAACGTATTTTTTTCATTAAAAATCCTATTAATCGTATTCTCCAGTTGATTTGTACGACCCATTGGAGTTTGAAAATTACATTGAACATGCAATAAGAATAATTACCACTTGCGAAAGCCCACACTATACTAGGATTTGAAGACTGCAATGGCACTCTGCTAGAAACGAGATCTAGTAATAGTTGAAAAAACATCGGTTGAGGCATGAATGCATGCGGTACAAGCTTGCAATCCTTCACCATCATTCTAGAGGGGTGGACAAACCCGACCATGTTGCAGAATAAAACGAAAGAAGATGCCAAAGTCGTTCCGCCAAATACCAGCCAACTGCTTTCTTTGATTGACGGACGTACTACCAAGATCCAAAGAGAGACAATAGATCTAGCAACACCTACCCTCATAGGCCCTATGTCCGTGTCGGTTTAGACATTGTCGAGGTAGGGGGAGGCTGAAAATAACTTATTCCAACGCGCCATCGCCTTTTACCACCTCACTGATGTTGCTGAGAACTAAATAAAGACCTACTAGAACTTAGGAAAATGAACGGGGCAGGTCCCACTCCTCTCATAGTGGACAATGCCAAACATGGGGGGACTGAGCCAACGACATGGAAAAGCCTTAGGTGTCGGCTAGGATTGAGAAGATAAATCTGCCAAGGTATACATGCAAGTCTTGAATGGGCTGGCCTTTTCATTGCTATAGTGAACTCGTTCAGGCTTTCCACGCGATCAACAAAAAGTGAACATTCCGTAACCACGAGATATATTATTTGTGGCATTATGTGGCAAATTGCCATTGTTTTGCACAGGGCTAGCGATCGATCGAACGTAATTAGGCTGGCCCATTGGTAGATACACAATGTACTAGAAGTTGGGAAGGTTTGTGGCCATCTTGGGAATCTTCTAAAGGGTTCCTGAACCGATTTCCTTTTTTGTGTGTTCTCTTATACTGGCTTTCCGAGTTTCTTTATTTCTTTTTGTTTTTCATGTTTTCGGTTTCTTTTTAAATTCACAATTTAAAAAAATGTTTGGGACTCTACAAAAAAATGTCCATGATTTAAAAATGTTCCCAATTTCAAATTGTTAGCTAATTTGAAAAAATATTTGCATTTTCAAAAGGTGTTCACAAAATTTAAACATGATTGTGTTTTAAAAATGATCATGTTTTCAAACAATCTTCGTAGAATTTCAAAATATGTTTGCGTTTTCAATAAATGTTAACTTCAAAAAAATTCACAGCATCAAAGAATTTCGATTTTTCAAAAAACATTCAGACATTTGAAAATTTGTTCCAAATTAAAAAAATGGGTTTTAAAAAAATCATGTTTCCAAAAAAATTACAAAATCCAAAATATGTTTGAATTTCAGTTTTTCTTTGAATTTCATGAAAAAATCCCGCTCCCGTAATTTGTTCACAAATTCAAAAAATGTTCCTATTTTTGAAAATGGTAACTTTCAAAAAATGTTCTTGTTTCTGAAATTGTTTAGTATTTCAAAAAATGTTCACGTTATCAAAACGTTCTGAAAATTAAACATTTTTGCGTTTTCATAAAATATTTCATTTTCAAAAGACTGTTAGGAATCAAAAGAAGACAAAACACAGGTTCGCTACAGTGTGTGGTCACTACAGTGCCGTCTCGCAACGATGCGTCGTGGCTGCATGCGCTGCTGGCTGCAGTGGGTCGGCCCGCGAAGCTTGTCTTTTGGGCGACGAGCGTCCAATAGGTGCTCCCCGTAACTACTTCCCTTAACATAATAAATCCATCACCAATTAGAAAAAAACATAAATCCATCACAGTTATCGAAAACGAAGTCCGTGCATCATCACATGGCAGTGTCAAATATGACAAAACAAACTACGTAAGTTATCGTTGCACATGCATCGCCGCGAACATGCAAAAACTTAAAAAAGATCAAATAATCTACTATAATCACTGCGCTGCACACTAGGCCTGTTTTGACTAGCTGGATACGCTCAACCCGTCAAGCGCTATACCAGTAAAAAACTTGGTACAAGACCAGGACCAGCTGGTTGCTTACGTTTCTTTCAAGATTTCAAGATTCCGATTCCCGTGATCAAGCCGATCAACTTCAATATTCGCTGCGGTGGCCAACCGCTACCATCTTGTAACGAGGACACATGAATATATGCATAATGTAACCATGGCGTGCTGCCTGAAAGTACGTACTCCAAGTCTTTACAATACACTTACTTAATATATTTTTCTTACACATTTTCCGTGGCTCGCTTGACTCACTCGATCGGCAGGTAGATTCCTCGAACCACCGCCAGTTTTTCTCTCCTAACCAAAGCTCGCGTGCACTTGACCCATGCAGCGCGACTATGAGACAAACGCCACGGAAGTAGCTACGGTACACCTCTACACTCTACTACAGTAGTTTAGTCCGGCGGCGATTGGCCTTGGCATTGGCACTGCCGGATTGCTCACGACCTACCCGGACAAAACCAAAGCGCGAAACATTAAACTTAGCACATTTAAGAAGCCATTAACGTCTCGATCGAGCTGGAGCTTGCCGTCGCTCTCCGGCAGCACCGGCCGGATCAGCGAATCTTCCCACGCTACTTCGTCATCTATGTGGCAGAGTGGCAGCTAGCTAGCCGAGACGGACGGATACAGCGCAAGTCTTCGCATCGCGATCTGCCAACTTGCGGTCAGTTGGTGGCGGCCATTTCCACCTTCTTCTCCTTCCCGGCGCCGTCGTCGGCTTCCGCGGCGCCCTGCTTGTGCGTTGCCGTGGTGCCGAACAGCGAGCTCATGTCCTCCAGCGTGCGGCCTCGGGTCTCCGGCAGGTAGGCGAAGAAGAACACCCACGCGAACGAGGCGATGCCGGCGAAGAGGAAGAAGGCGCCGCCGATTGTCATGGCCTTGGACAGCGAAATGAAGGTCATGGAGATCACGCCGCTGGTCAGGCGGTTGACGGCCACGCCGAGGGAGCAGCCCAGCGCGCGCACGTGCAGCGGGAAGATCTCCGAGCTGTACACCCACGTGATGGGGCCGAGGCCGATGGAGAAGAAGGCCACGTAGGCCATGATGCAGAAGATGCACAGGACGATGGCCCAGGTGATCTTCTCGTCCGGGTGGCGGCTGATGACGGTGAGCCCCGTCGCGAGGCCCACTAGGGAGACGATAATGCCTCCCGTGCTGCTCAGCAGCAGCGGCCGACGGCCGATGCGGTCGAGGAGGAAGGTGGCCACCAGGATGAAGACCGTCTTGGTGGCCCCGACCGCCACGGTGGTGCCGAGGAGACGGTTGTCGCCCGTGATGCCGGCGCTCTTGAAAACTCGCGGGCTGTAGAGCACGACGGCATCGATGCCCGAAGACTGCTGGAAGAAGTGGATGCCGATTCCCGCGATGAGGATGTGGCGCATGGCTTTGGTCGGGGACAGGATGAGGTCCTTCCACACGCGCTTCTCCTCGCTGCTTCCTTTGTTTTTGGGCACGGTGACCACGTCGCCGTCAAGGTCCAGAGGGATGCCGGCGGCAGTCTTGATGTCGGCGAGGCGTTCGGCGGCCTCCTCCGGCGTGTCGGAAGTCTTGGCAAGAACAACCTTAGCGTCCGCGAGACGGCCCTTCATGACGAGCCACCGGGGAGACTCGGGCATGCCGAGCACCATGAAGGCGAGCAGGACGGACGGCACCGCGCCTATGCCGAGCATGATGCGCCAGCCGAGGCGGAGGGAGAGGCGGGCGAAGGCGAAGTTGGAGACATATCCGAGAAGGATGCCGAAGTTGATGAACACCTCCGGGAAGGAGGTGAGGAAGCCACGGGCAGACGCGGGGGACACCTCGGCCGTGTACACGGGCGCGATCATGAGAGCGTACCCCACGCCGATGCCGGCCACGAAGCGGCCGAACATGAGCATGGCGTAGTTGACGGAGAGGCCCATGATGAGGGCGCCCGCGAAGAAGATGACGGCGGCGAAGACGATGGTGAAGCGCCGGCCGATCCAGTCGGACGTCCGCCCCGCCGCGAAGGAGCCAATGAGCGAGTACACGTTGAGGATGCCCATGAGGATCTCCAGCTGGGTGTCGTTGATCTTCAGGTCCTTCTGGATGTACAGCGATGCTCCGCTCATCACACCGATGTCTGCAGACCCAAACAAACAGTGTTCAGCCCATGCAAAGCACGTACGTACGTACTAGTATATGCAACAGATCCAGCGAAATGGTCTGTGCGCAAGAACATTAGGGCGTACCGTAACCGAGGAGGATGGAGGTCATGGAGGCGAGGATGGCGCAGGCGAAGGCGAACCTCACGTTGCCCTTCTTCTTGGGCCCGACGGCCGCCGGGAGCACGGCGCGGTCCATCGTCGACGACGCCCCTCTGCTCGCTGCCTGAGGATTATGCCGACGAGGTCCTCCTTGTGTATAGTTTAGTGGTGCTCGAGAGCTGGTTTCTATGTGCCAGTGGAGTGTTGCATTGCCGGGGAGGGACGCATTTATAGGCACAAGTTGCATTGACAGAAGGAGGGGGCTTCAGCTCAGCTCAGACACAAGAGCAGAAGCTGGAATAGTATACGTAGGCGTGGGCCCGCTTCGCAGCAACTGGCATGTGGGCCCACAGTGATGACCAATCGTGCCGTTGAATAATCAGCGGTCACCGGTGGTGTAGCTATCTCCTCTCTTGCAAAATACGCACGTCTCGCTGCCACAGTCCCATAGGCGATGCCAGATTAATCTGCCGCACGACCACTTGGGTCTTCGCCTCGTTGGACCGGCGTTCCTGGAGTTGTTGGACGTGGTTATCACCAGATCACCTCCGGGCGCCGATATGGTTGAAATGCTGCATCATCTCTTTCCTGACTATCTGAATTTGGTACAAGTAATAATAAAGAATGGGATTAGGGGATCATTCATCAATCTGCATGATTTTCTCAACCCAAAAGGGAAAAAGAGAAGAAAGATCTGCGTGCTTTCTCACTAGAGTACGTGGCAGCATCCCCTTTGGATTAGGGTCCAATAGAAGGTGAAAAGGCCTCCCTCGAAAGGGAACCGTACAAAGACTTGTAGCGCCACTCACCACTCATGCATGCATGCATTTCATACGCAGTATTGCTGTCCTTTTGAGTTTCGAGCATTAGACATGTGCTCCCTTCGATTCCAAAATGATTTAAGTCTTAGGTTTGTCCTAAGCCAAATGTACTTATGTTTGCTCAATATTATAGACATACTACCCTCTATCACACCGATAGGATTACGACCAGGTGGGTGGGGCCCCTTCCTCCTTCTTCTCCAATCACAATAATCCATCTGGCAGTGTACATAAAGCAGGTAACTATGTTTATGGTGGTCTCGGTGGTTGGCATGAGGCAGCAGGCAGATCTTGCGGCGGCGGCTGCCGCCATTGTGCAAGAGTTCAACCTGGAGCCGCTGGACATGTCGATTAGGGAGTTCTTTCCGGAGGATTTTTTGGTACTCTGTTGTTCGGTGGAAATCAGGAACATGTTGATCAGGAGGGGGAGGGTTGGCACGCCGCAGTTCGACCTCCTGCTGAAGCCGTGGTCTCGTCGGGCTCAAGCGACGGCAATCTCTATGCCTTTCCTCGTCCCGCTGGCCCTGCGAGGTGTGCCGGCGAACGCGTGGACTAGGAGGACGGCGGACACTCTGCTTCATGGCCTGGGCATTGTGGTCAAGGTGGCGGCGTCTACAGAGGCGAGGAACGACATGTCCGGCTTTCGGGTTTGGCTGCGGACGGATGATCCGGCGAGAATCCCTTCCCGTCGCATTCTCGTCGTGGAGGAGCCGGGCAGGAGGAGTGCCCGGGCCCTGAATGTGAGCAATGAGGCGATGCACTGTGGTATCCCGTCTCCATTATCCAGGAGGAGGGCGCCGTCAGGTTGGGGCCGCATGTCGGTGTGCCGCCACCGCCCTCAGTTGGAGATGGCCGCGGTGGGCCTGGTTCGGGTGGTGCGCGTGGAGGCCGTGGGCCTGCATCTGCGGCTGGGCAGGAGCGGGTGTTACCTTCATCCGATGGCTCGCCGGCGGCGGCCGCTTCGGCGGGTTCGGCGCCAGTTCAGGGGCGTCAACGGCAGGTTCAAACTGGTCTTCCAGGCGGTCAACAAAGGCAGGAATGTGGTGGACCAGGGGTGGATGACAGGGCCTGCGTCATCATGGGGCCAGGCGATTCGGAGATCAGCTTGGTTGGCTCGGTTCGGCCGTTGGAGGCTGACCCGGAGGGAGGAGGAGTTGGTAGCTGGGACCCACCCTCTGCGAAAAGCGTTGTGGGCCCACGGAGGGGTCCGGTAGGACCGACGGTGCAGTCTGGCTCTCTGCTGGCCGGCAGTGGTGGGGTTCCAGGGGTGGCATGTGTGTCTCTGCAGGCCGACAGCAGTGGGCAAAGCGCCCTGCAGCCAATGGATGGGCAGGATCCCCCCGCCTCGCCCGGGACTTCGCGGGTCGTCCGGTTCGGGCTGTAGGCCATTCCCCTGCAGGAGGAGGATGCGACAAGCGCGCAGGCTGGTAACAGGATACTCGCGCGGACCGAGGAGGATATCGGTGGTTCGGTCAGTTCATGATTGGTGGGATCGTGGGCTAAGGAATCCGATGTGAGTGGGCCCGTGGTGCATGCTGATGGGACGTGCCCATGCACGCAATGTGGTAGGGAGGGCTGGTTCTCGGTGAGTTTATCCGATCAGGCTGGTTCGCCAGCGGTGTCTTTGGACGCGGCAATTCCTCCCCGGACCCAGCCCTCGCCCCAGGAGGAGGTGGCCCTAATTTTCTCGGAGCTGAGGCAAGCTCTATCTCCGTTGCTGTCGCAACCCATGACCAGGGCTCCTCCTCAGAAAATAAGGAAGCCTAGGCAAAAGCGGTCGCCGGTTTCCTCCCCGCGGAGGAGCGTGAGGCTTGCCAAGGGAGGACGTGGATCAAAAGCAACCAAACAATAGGCGGTGCTTATCAGCAAGCTGTGTCTCGCGCATGAAGGGGACCAAATCACGGATAAGGCTCTGCAGGCCTACGTGGATCTATTCGACAAGCCTCTGGTGGAGAGCCACGTCAAGGCTATTCTAGCTTTGTTCGGTTGGGACTCGTCGGCGCTTCCGTTGGTCGGGGAAGACGTCGAGGTGGTAAGGGGTGCGTAGGGTTACGGCGCACCTAGGTGGTAGTGGTGGGTCCTCGTTATGGCTACACAACCCCCAAAATTGATAGTGTGGAATGTGCGTGGGCTTAATTCCCCGACACGTCGTAGCTCGGTCTTTCAGGTAATTGAGGCAGCTCGTGCTAGCATTGTGTGCCTTCAAGAAACCAAGATGGAGATCATAACGAACAAACTTGTTAAGCAATGCCTGGGTAATAGATTTGAGGATTTTTACTATGTGCCAGCTATCGACGCGCGTGGGGGTATCCTTCTGGCTTGGGATAGATTGGTAGTCTCGGCCTCTAATAGGCATGTTACGGAAAACACACTCACGACCCTTGTCAAGCAAGATGGAGAGGCCATGTGGTGGCTAACGGGAGTATACGGGCCACAAAGTGATGTGGAGAATGTGGAGTTTCTTCAAGAGCTGAGAGAGGTGCGCGACCTTCAGGTGTGACCATCGACAGTCGTGGGGGATTTCAACCTTTTGGTTAATCCGGAGGACAAGAATAATGCCGTGATCAATCAAAGAATGATGGCTAGATTTCGGGCTTTGCTCAATTCCTTGGAGCTCAAGGAACTATACTTAAATGGCAGAAGATACACGTGGTCTAACGAGAGGAGAAACCCCACCTTGGAGAAAATAGATCATATCTTTGTTACAAACTCTTGGGAGGAGATCTATCCGCGCAGCCTGTTGACAGCTGTGGGCTCGGCAGTCTCGGACCACTCCCCTCTTTTGGTGGATCTTGACGCGGATTTTCAGTTGGGCAAGCGCTTCAAATTTGAGAGTTTCTGGCCTAAAGCCGTGGGCTTACTTGATACTATTCAAGAGGCATGGCAGGCTGTTCCATCGGTGGGAAACCTGTTTGTGGACCTGGACAATAAGTTACACGCTACAGCGAAGGCTTTACAGAAATGGAGCGATAGATGGATTGGGAATATAAAGCTCCAACTAGCTTTGGCAATGGAGATCATCGGTCGGTTGGACAAGGCGATGGAATCTAGGCATCTATCGGATCATGAGCATGGGCTTAGGAAGCTGCTTAACTAAGAAAAAACTCAAGGAGGGCGAGGCGAACACGGAATATTTCCAGCGCCAGGCGAGGTACAGGCAGAAGAAAAACGTGATCACGTCACTTTCACACGAGGGTGTGTTACACACTGGGCAAGATCGCATTGCATCGATGGTGGACAATTACTACGACGGATTGTTTGGGTCTTCGGTGCATAGGGCGGCCTCGATCAACCTGGACTTGCTGGACCTCCCGCCCCTGGATCTCACGCATCTCGAGGCTCCTTTCTCAGTGGATGAGGTCGATAGGACAATCAAGGCAATGCCACTCGACAAGGCACCGGGCCTGGATGGCTTCACTGGCCGCTTCTTCGTCTCATGTTGGCATATAATCAGGGAGGACTTTATGAAGGCGCTTCATCAGTTCCATGGTGGTGACATGAGGGGGCTGGCGTCCATTAACAAGGCGCTAGTATCCCTCCCTCCAAAGGTGCATGGGGCAGTGGACATTAAGGATTTTAGGTCGGTGAGCCTCATTAGTGGACCTGTAAAAAATTCTGACAAGATACTCGCGACCAGATTGGTGGATGATCTACCGCGGTTAGTGGGGCATCACCAGAGTGCCTTTGTGAAAGGTCGTTCGCTTCACGATAACTTTATGCTGGTGCAATGCACGGCTAGGAGACTCCATGCTTTGAGGAATCCAGTAGTACTACTGAAACTCGATATCACAAAAGCTTTTGACACCATCCATTGGCCTTTTCTGCTTGAGATTTTGCGGAGATTGGGTTTCGGAACCAAATGGGTAACGTGGATGTGTGGACTGTTGGCCACATCCTCCACTAGGATTATGGTGAATGGGTTGCCGGGAAGACCGATCCTGCCTTGCCATGGCTTCAGGCAAGGGGGCCCGTTGTCTCTAATGCTCTTCATACTTTGCATGGAATCGCTTCGAGCACTCTTCCACTATGCCACAGAAAAAGGGATGCCGGCGCCTTTGGCGCGGTCAGGCCTCAAGCAGCGGGTTTCCATGTTCGCAGATGACGTGGTCGTTTTCTTCAAGCCAAATGAGTTGGAGGCGCGAACTTGTGACACTGTGTTGCAGCTTTTTGGTCAGGCTTCGGGCTTGGTGGTGAACAGAAACAAGAGCATGATCATGCCAATCAGGTGCTCCACGGACGAGCTGGACTTAGTTACAAATACCTTGGGCTGCCCCTCGGGCGCCTTCCCCTGCAAGTACCCCGGCCTCCCTTTAACTCTAAGAAAGCAAACGGCGGCACATCTCCAAGGTTTGGTCGACAAGGTGGGAGATGCACTGCCATTATGGAACGCCGCATTACTGCATAAAAGCAGCCGACTGTTGAATAT